CACCCCACAGAGGCAGTGTATTCCCTGCAGGTTTTCTGTCCTTTGGCCTAAATCTTTAAACAAGCCAAGCATCAAGTTCTATTTTGGAATAGTTTTTTATTGGGGTCTTGCTCAAAAAACGAGAAAGGTGGTATATTATGTGGATTGTCAGCTACTTTTTGTTATGATTATCATTTTATATATATTTTACAAAAGGAATATTGTAAGGAATTGTATATTGTGAAAAAACAAAGATAAGAACTATCAGACAGATGGTAGTGGAAATAAAATTGGAAAGTTGGATGGAATCCAGTGGCTTAGATACATCATGTCTCACTTATTCATTTGTGGTGTATTTCATAGGTCATAACAGACTTTAACTCAGTCGGACGTTTCTTTATATTTACCTGTGTTCCAGGCTCCCCTTCCATCCCTCCTTCTGTTGAGGAAGGTTTTAGATGCAAATTAATGTATATATTAATAGAAGCAGTGAATTTTCATTTTTTTTTCTGCTTAGAGGATGTAATTTGGTTTTGTGTCCTCCCAGCCACTCAAAAGTCTGAGACAGGATGTCACAAGTTCAAAGCCAGCCTGAGGAACTTACTTAGTTCAGCAGAGACCGAGCGTTCCGGCTCCAGTGCCCCTCCAAAGGACAGGAAAGAAAAGAAGAGAAAAACCCATCTTTTTGGTTTTGTTGATTACTCCCTGTAGAAGGTTAGAATCTTAAGGCTGTAAGACTTTAAGGATGTATTTCCTGGGGCTGGGGATTTAGCTCAGTGGCAAAGTGCCTGCCTGGCAAGCGCAAGGTTGTGAGTTCGGTTCCTGGTACCAGAAACCCCCCCCCCCAAAAAAAAAGGATGTATTTCCTGAAGTCACTGTGGGAAGCCCTAGGAATTTCTGGCAAATTGAAAGCGAGCCCAGCTTTAAACCAAAGGATGTTGAGATTGACGTGAAACCAAGGAAAAGAGAAGACATTGCACTGCTGTGTTATACCCTCAGCCTGTGCTCCTGCCGCTGCTGTCCTCTCAGCTCTTTTTATTTAGGTCTTCCTTAGTTTCTTTCAGGAGTGTCATAGTTTTCAGTGTAGAGGCACTGGAGAACTGTTAAATTTATTCCTGAGTTCTCTTTTTTTGGTACTGGGAATCGAACTTGGGACCTTCAGCTTGCCAGGCAAGCGTTGTGCTGCTGAGCTACATCCCTGGCCCCTGAGTACTCTAAAGTGCGACTGTGAGTGGAATTGTTTTTACATTTCATGCATGTAGCACATAAAAGTACTAATTTTTTGCTATGTTAGTTTTGTATTCTGTGATTTTGTGTTAAACTCATCATTTCTGGTAGTTTTTTTGTAGATTTCTTAGAAGTTTGACTATAAATGATCATGTTGTTTTTTTTTTTTTTTTGTTTTGTTTTTTCTGAGACGGGGTCTCGTTTTATAGTTCAGGCTGCCCCTGAACTCACTATGTAGCTCAGGTTGGCCTTGAAATCACATCAATCCTCCTGCCTCAGCCTCCTGAGTGCTGGAATTATAGTAGTGTGCCACCACGCCCCAATTTTTTTTGGTGCCAGGAATCAAACTCAGGACCTTGTGCTTGCCAGGCAGGTACTTGTGCTGCTGAGCTATCTCCCCGGCCTGATCATGTCGTTTGAAAATAAAAAAGGCAATTTTATTCTTCATTTCCAGATTGGGCTGTTGCACTAACAGGGACACTCCGTACAGTGTGGATCAGAAGTGGTGGGTGTGCACATTTTTGCCGTATTTTCCACCTGAGGGAACAGGAGATCAGTCTTTCATCCTCAGTGCAGTTGTTGGTATTCTGTGGACGTACTTTGTCGTGGTCACTTTCCTTTCACTGGGACAAAATACCCAAAACCTGGAGGAGGAGAGGTTTGTTTTGACCAATGTGTGAGAAGTTCCGGGCCTCCAGGTGGGCTGGCTTCAGACAAGAGCAGATGGTACAAGGGCCTGGTCTGGTGGAGGAAAGCTGCTCACCTTGCACAGCCAGAAAGCAGAGAGAGAAGCGAGGAGCCAGGAAGGGAGAAAACCCGCCTGGCGACACCTGGCGACACCCACCATCACCTGCGCTTCCTCCTGAGCTCACCCCACCTCTCACCTGGAGGTCAGCCCTGACGGCCCGCAGTCCTGCCGCCTTTCACACACCCTGGGCTCTGGGCCGTTGGAGGTCCGCCCGAGGACGCTCCTGTCTCCTCCTGGGTGGCTGAGAATTCTGTCGTGAGTGCGAGCAGTGGTCAGTTTCCTGCACCTAGTGAGACGAGTATGTGACTTTTCTTCCCTCTGAATGCGGTGAGTTACACGGATCAGGGTAGAGTGTTAAACCTGCCTCTCGTTCCTGGAACAAACCACCTGTTCGTGACCCCGTTCTCCCCCTCGCCCTTCTTTCTCTTGTAGCTTCTGTGCTCTCTCCATTTCTGCAGCGTCGTCAGTGGGCCCCGTCATGCTCTTCCCCATGTTTGCTTTTCCTTTCTGACCGTTGAACTCAGGACCTCAGATGTGCTAGGCACGCCCTCACCTCCGAGCTACATTCTCAGCCCTTGCTGAATTTTAAAGTTTTTTAGTTTACTCTTACTTGGTGTGTTTGTTTATTTTTGCAGTGCTGAGGATGGAACCTAGGGCTTTTTCATGAGGCCACATCCACAGTTGGTTTTGTTTTGTTTTTGTGGTACTGGGGATTGAACTCAGGGGCTTACACATGCTAGACAAGCACTCTATAACTAACTGAGCTGCCTCCTCAGCCCTTTTTTATTTTTTTTTTTTTTTGAGAGTCTTACTGAGCTGTCCAGGCTGGCCTTAAGTTTGAGACCTCCTGCTGCAGACGCTTTGCTGTCTCGGATTACAAGCATGCATCCACACACCCAACAATTTTTGACATTTTGATTATTTTACTTTCTTGTGCCTGAATTTTTATGAAAACTTTTTGTATAAAAATAATCGTAAGATGGACATGATGGTGCGTGCCTGTAATTCCAGCACTGTGGGTGTCTGAGGCAGGAGAATTATAGGTTGGAGCACAGCTTAGGCAATTTAGTGATACAGCAAGACCCTGTCAAAAAGAAAAAAAGAAGAAAAGAAAGAAAAGCAAGGCTGAGAATCTAGTTTAGTACAAAGGCCCTGAGTTCAATCTCCTGCACGTTCCAAAAACAAAAGAAATGATAGCCTGCTATATCCCCTTTTCGGTATCTTTTGTTTTCCTTTTAAAAAACTTAATATAACGTTTAAAGAGCTTTGATTTCAGCTTTGTGACGTACAGTTGTATGGGCGCACCCCAGTCTGCTCGACTAGCTAGCTGTCCCCAGTTACTCTCACAGTGCTGAGATGACTACCCTTGCATGTTTCTGATTCCCTGGAAACCGCCTGCTTGTCCCACAGCTCAGCGGGGCCGGGGCCGGGGAAGGGGGTGGGGGGCAGGTCGGTGCAGACTGGGGCGCAGACAGGCGCGGGGGCTCCATCCCCCGAGTGCTCCCAGTGCAGACACCAGTGCAGGGCCTGCAGTGGGCATGCTTCTCAACCACCTGCCGTGAGCTGGGGGTCCCCAGATCTCCTGCGAGGGTGTTTGCCGGGATGGCTTGCAGCGCTCAGAGCAGCGCGGTAGCGCCAGGTTCTGCAGGACACAGTTGAGGACCGGCTGGGTGGAGGAGCACAGCGGCCGAGCCGAGCGGGGGTCGCACTTCTGTCCTCCTTCCCTCTTCACTCCTGGTGAGCCCCGGCCCTGCCTCCAGACGGCCGCCTCATGGTTTCCTGTTCTCTTTTCTTCACTTACTTATTGATGTAGTTTTGATGTTTTCAGGTGAGAAAAAATGTGGTAAATTTAACTTTCTGGGTCTAGCTAATTTCACTTACCGTGATAGTTTCTAGTTCTGTCCATTTCTTTGCACCGGACATGATTGCATTTTTCTTTATGGCTGAGTGATATTCCATGACGTCTGCCTAAGTCACATTTTCTCTATCCATTCATTTGTTGATGGGCATCTAGGCCTTTTCCATGGTGAAGCTGTTATGATTGTGCTGTTCTTTTCGTTTGTTTGTTTTTTTCCAGTACCAGGAATCGAACTCACGACCTTGCGCTCGCCAGGCAGGCGCTGTGCCGCTGAGCTAAATCCCCAGCCCCTGATTGTGCTGTTCTAAACATTGGTGTGCATTATCACGGTAGTACGCAGTCCTTCATTGTTTGAGAGGATGTGCCTCGGAGTGCTGTAGCGGGGTATTCTGTGTGCAGTGTTTTGGGGGCTCTCCATACTGATTTCCTAGGGGTGGTTCTAGCTGATACTCTCCCCAGGGCGGGGCTGTTCCCCTCCCCCAGTCCTTACTGGTGTCGTGGTTGTTTGTGTTCTTGCTGCCAGCTGCTCCGACGGCTCGAGATGGAATTCCCGCGTAGTTTTAGCTTTAATCTGCGGTCTAGAGACAGTGAGCGTTTTAACGTACTTTTGGTTAGTAGCGCTCTGTAGGGAAATACTGAGTTCATTTGCCCACGTTTTATTGGTTTCATTGTCTTATTGGTGTTTCGAAGTTCCTTATGAATTCCCGATACTGACCCTCTGTCAGGCGCGGCCAGCAGCCCCTTGGGCGGGTTGTGGCTTCGCTGTCTCTCTGGCTGTGCGAAGCTTTGCTTTGCGCCCGGTCGCCCACTCTGGCATTTCCCGTGCGTCCGGCGCCCCGTTCAGGGCGTCCTTCCTTGCACCCGTGGCATCAAGTGTTTCCCTGACGCTGCAGCGGAACTTCTGTAGGAAAGTCTTGGCTGGTGTATTTCCCAAATAAGCAAGTTACGTGACACAGTCTGTGTCTTGAGACATTTTAAAAAGATTAATCATTTAACATTTGGATCCTTTTAATTTGTCTTCTCTTTCTACTTTGCAGACATTTCAACCTACGAATGAAGAGGGACACGTCCCTGTTTAGTGATGAATTTAAAGTAGAAACATCAGACAGAGTACTTGATTATGATACCTCTCACATATACACTGGACATATTTATGGTAAGTTGGACCTTAACAGAAGCCTTGTAAGTTTTTTCCTACCAGGGACATGTCTGTTTAGATGTGTGAGCAGGTATTTCAGGAAGGGTGGTGTACCTCCTCGCAGAGGGAAGGCAGCCTCCTTCTCCCGGGAGGCAGAGAGACAGTGCCTTTCGGCTTGGCTGTCGGAGAATCAGGAGTCCTAGAAGACGCCCGGCTCCCTCAGAATTGAGCCAACCGGTTTGTCACCCAGGGTCCTTCGCCTGGAGGCCATACTCGGAGCGATGCCCACCTGTGCCCTGGGTCTGGGGCTCAGATCTGGGTGATTCCTGGGGATTAAGGGTGGGTAGGAGTCACGTGTCTTTCTGCCCTGCAGCGAGGGGCAGGTTGGGGTCTGACCCTTGACCCACACAGGTCTGGCATGGAGACTACGACTGGGGACTGGATCTGTCTTCGGACCATCCTGGCTAGTGGTGTACATCCTTCCCCTACTTTTTTGGTTCTTTGAGATAGGGTCTCGCTATATGGTTCAGGCTGGCCTTGAGCTCAATATGTGGCCTAGGCTGGCCTCACAGTGATCCTCCTGCCTCAGCCTCCTGAGTGCTGATATTACAGACATGTGCCACCACACCTGGTCACCCTTCCCCTTAATCTTCCAGACTGGGCCACCTCCCTTTGCTCCATGAGCTCAAAGCCCTGCAGAAATAAGCCCTACATAAGAGTCATCTGTCTTGTTCTTCGAGCTTAGAATTCCTGTACCTTCAACATGTTGTATATTCTGTGTGTTCGTTTTACCATTTAAAACAAAATTCAGAGGCAAGTGAATGAATCATGAAGAATAAATGGTCTTTGAAAAATGAGATAATCTTTTAATCTTTAACATGCATGTTTAATAATGAAGTATATCTAGCTTCTGAAAGGTATAAAACTTTGACACTAAATACTTTCAAACTGTTAGTTTAAAAATTTTTAATGACTGTATAATTCTCTGATCTTTGAAGGAAGAAATTAGCAGTAACTTTTCTGTGTTCTGTAAGGAAACAGAGAGAATTAAAAGGAGACTCCAGAGATCATTTCAGCTGAAAATAAAGTGACAGTAATTCATAGGAAAATCCTTCCAGGCCCTCAGTGTATCTTGCTGGGCAAATCACCTGGTAGTCTGTGCCCACTCTTGGTAGGTGATAAAGTGCTTTAGGTTCATGATTGACTCAAAGCCAGCCAGTCAATCTGAATGTGTAATTTAGAAATCTTGGAAGCCTTGGGGGCTGGGGGCGTAGGGTAGCGCAGTGATGGAGAGCCTCTTGGAGGTGACAGGCAGCTGGCTGTGGCGTGTGCGCCGTAGGTTGGCCACTGCTGGCTCAGTCCTGGAGCAGCATTTAGCATGCCTGGGGCCCGGGTTCCGCCTCCAGCTCCCCAAAACAAATGTGAGAGAAGCCGTATGGGTGCACTGTTTCTAATGAAGATCTTAACAAGTAAATTTAACCTTGTGTTTTTGCTGCTGTGCCCAACTGCACTGCGTTTAACTTCTAAAGCCCCATTTGGGTGCAGAGGCAGGTGTGTGCACTCCCAGCTGGTTGGGAGTGTGAGGCAGGAGGATTGCTTGACCCTGGGGATTTAAGGCCAATCCTAGCAATGTAGCAAGACGCTAGCTCTAAACAAAAATGAAAACAGAAAGGGGTTGGGGCTGTAGCTCCGTGGTAGAGCACAGGCCTGGCGAGCATGAGTCCGCAGCTGCGAAAGCAAAACCTTTTGCTGACTTCTTAGTCCTTCCTGACGTTTGGTTTTGTCGCTCAGATTTTGTGATTAAAGACTAAAGTAACATTTTTTTTTCTGTTATTTTCTTTATAATTGCTGGGAACAGTATTCCAAATCTTTCTTGAATATCTTTTAAAAAGGGCTGTTGATATACTTTTGTTTAAGTTGCTTATGAAACATTTAATAGTTTTGTATCTAAAAATGTATTTATAAAACCTGAAAGTGGCGAGGAAGCCAAAAGGTTCACGTATAGTACGTCACATGGGAAGAAAGCTATTTTTCTTGTGGAAATTAAAGCAGAATTTTTGTGGCAGTTTCCCTTTTTTTTTGAGACAGGGTATCACTATGTAGTTCAGGCTGGCTTCGAACTCACTATGCAACCCAGCCTGGCCTTAAACTTGTGGCGATCCTCCTGCCTCAGCCTCCCGAGTGCTGGCCTAAAGCAGCTTCCACTACTCTTGGCTTAAAGCAGAACTTCTAAAGAGACTTTTGTGTATCTTTATTCTGAAAGTGTATGTTTTATTAGTGGGACAACTTTCTTCTAAGTTTAAGTCAGATTACAATTACTTACTGAATGACTAAGACAGACATGATAGGAAGTTGTTTTTCTGACAGGAAGTATTCTAGGTGCTAAGAATATGTTTGCCACGAGGCAGGTGTTCATTAGTAGTAATTATATATGTTTTAACAGAATTCTGGTTGCTGTACCTGTCTCAAATTCAACTTGATATATTTTATGTGAAAATTAATTTCCAAGCCAGGTGTGGTGGTGCATGCCTGTACTCCCAGCATTCAGGAGGCTGAGGCAGGAGGATCGTTGTGAATCTGAGACCAGACTGGGCTGCAAAGTGAGCTCAAGGCCAGCCTGACCTGTGTAGTGAGACCCTGTCTCAAAAAGACAAAAAAAAAAAAAAAAATTAATTCTCTCAGTAAAGCTATACTCAGGATATTTGAAAAAGAACATAAGAATGGCTTTTTACAGTGAAATGACTTTTTAATACTCATGTATAAATTAAATTTTGAAGACTTGGTTGCTTACACCCATAGGTGAAGAAGGAAGCTTCAGCCATGGCTCAGTTATTGATGGAAGATTTGAAGGATTCGTCCGGACTCGTGGTGGCACATTTTACATCGAGCCGGCAGAGAGATACATCAGAGACCGAGCTCTGCCCTTCCACTCCGTCATCTACCATGAAGATGATATCAGTAAGTGCTCACAGTTTGCAAAAAGGCATCTGAGTGGTTGGAACTTTGTGGAGACGAAGGCTGAGCTGTTGGTCCTCCAGAAAGCAGTTGCAGGCGCAGCCGGGGTCCGTGAACTAGGGGCCTGCCAGGGCGCTGGTCGTGTGGGCGCCCGAGGCAGTCCTGCCTGCTGCCGGGGGCGTGGCTTCGGTTGCCGAGTCCGCCAGGGCTGATTGAACTGGGACTCCTGTGCCCTGCGTGAGCTGGTCTGTTATGCTACCAGCTTTCTCGTGTGGCCTGGGGAAGGAGGACCCCAGCTTACATCGTGTTTAAGCTCTAGCTGTTTTTGTGGTTTCTGAGGCCTTTGAGTGGTCCTTTTTGCAGTCCTGAAATAGTGACCTCGGCTTGGTAAGACTGCAGGTTTATTGTGTGCTTGTCCTCTACCCGCCTGGTCTTACATAGTGATAATTTGTTGGGAGAATTCCTTATCTGGGTCTTAAGAATGGAAAAGGTGTGTAGACGTCGCCTTTGCCTGTGTGTCCATAGTTATGTAAGCGCGAGCTGCTTCCCTGAAGTACGTTCCTCTCACAGATTTATCTCTTGGGCTGTCTGTCCGTGTTTGCTCAAATCAGGCTGGTCTCACAGTTTTTCCTGTTCTCCCAACTTGGCAGCTTCCGCTGCTTTCGTTTTCTTTCTGGCGCGGGAATTTGTCAGTAATTTCACCCTCACCTGCAGGAGTGTCGTGGCAGATTTCAGCCCTGTGAGTTCTCGCCTCAGCAGCTCTGCGGTGGCCGCCGCGCACACTGTCCACCTGCGTGTCGCTGTGGACGTCCGCCGCTTTGGGAGCAGCACGGTCCCTCGCGGTGGGGGGGGTGTGCCCGAGCTGGAGGCGAGCTCGGCCCCCGTGTTCCTCATTCCCCACGCACGTTTCCACTCGTCCCTGTTGACGCCTTCTCCTGGCATTTCACACTCCGCACTTCTCGTCGGTGTCCAAGCTGCGTCTCCTCCTCAGGAGCGCGGGTCCCTTTGCCTCCTTTCTCCTGCAGGGCTTCACCCCCTGCTTCCGCCTTGCCCTGTAATGTCCTTGGTGCGCCACTGTCAGGGTACGTACGTACGTTCTCCAGGTGCAGTTTCTGTGTCTTCTGCTCCTGACATTCCAGCTAGCGTTTATCTGGGTGGCAAATTCTGCATCAATATTTAACGAAATCTTGAGATACTTTCCCTTAGACTGTTTCCTCAGAGTCACACAAGACCTTCTGATAGGACGGGAGGCGGGGAAGAAGGGAAAGGAAGGAGAGGAAGTGGTGGGACAGGGCCGTCCTTCCCCACCGCCTCCAGCCACGCGCCGTCCCTGCCTCGGCCACGAGAGCGCTTGGAGTCTGTCTGCCTCTCACGGCTCTGCTTTTGTCTTCTGTCTTACTTTCCTCCTCCTGTTACTTGCTTGTATATAGCTTGAATGTATTCTACTTCTGTATTTTCTAATTTCTTTCCTCTACTTTAATTACATTTCCCCCACACTGCATCGTGTAGTAGTTGTTTTGGTTTTTTGTTGTTGTTTTGAGACAAGGTTTTGCTATGCAGTTCGGGCTGGCCTTGAACTATGTAGCCCAGGCTGGCTTTGAACTCACAGAGATCCCCCTGCTTCAGCCTCTCAAGTGGGATTACAGGAGTGCACCACCACCCCAGCTTTCTAGTAATTTCAATTATTTTATGTCAGCATTTCTCCCCCTCAATGACACTGGATGCAACTTAGTTTTCTGATCTTTTTACATTGTTTTTATTATTAAATACCATTAGTGGTATGAAAAGTTAAAGGAGTAATGTTTGGGTTGATTTTGTTTGTAATTCTTGGTAAATGGAAATGTGAGGGACACAGGAAGGAATTGCTTTGAACACAGCTTTTAATGTTCACAAATTTAGGCAATTACTTTTGTTTATTTGAGAGGAGGTCTTGCTGTGTTGCCCAATGATAGTAATCCTCCTGCCTCAGCCTCCTAAGTAGCTAAGATTAAAGGCGTATTCCTCTGGGTTCTGCTTTAGACAATTACATTTGAAAAATTACCTGAGTCTGTCTAGTTCACCATTGCAGGAGAAAACATGAATGTAACCTTCTAATTTCTAAGTAGTTGCTGTGTTCTGGATTTGAGAGTAGGACCAGCAGACTTCTCTGTGAAGGGACAGGGAATAAATACACTTAGCTTTGGGGCCTGTGAGCGCTGCTGTTGCCCCTCAGCTCTGCCTGTGTGGTGTGAAGGAGCCAGAGAGACACAGGAGATGAGCGGGCTGTTCTCCAGTAAAACTCTGTGGACTTAATTCGATTTTCATAGAACATAAAATACTCGTTTCCACTGTTTAAAAATATATGCCGGGCGTGGTGCTGCACACTCTTAATTCCGGGCCTGGGGATGCAGAGGCAGGAGAGTTGCTACGAGTTTAAGCTCGTAGCAGCCTGGGGAGTTCTGGGGAGTTCCCATAGGGAGTTCAAGGCCAGCCTGAACTGCATGCTGAGACCTTGTCTCAAAACAGCAAACCAAAACGTGGAGTCACCCTGGGTAGCTGCACGCCAGTGGCGGGCAGTGCGAGTTGTCCGCGAGGCTGTGGTGTTCGCGCCCGCCTTGGGGCCGAGCCCACGGGTCTGTCCTCGCCGGCTCTGCGGCCCTGC